GACAGGTGACAGCATTATTTGAATTAGATTTAATTGTGTTGCGTTTTGTATTATTTATGGAAGATCAATTAAAAAAGAATAAAAATGTGGAGTACATAATACACACCGAAGAATTTTACCAATGTTTATGTTTCATTTTTTTATGATAAAAGCACATTTAAACCCGAATGAAAGAGGGGTATATTTCAGATAATGAGTTTTAGAGAAAGTTGTTTTTTCAGCCATAAGTCGCTCACAGAAGAAAAGAATAAACAACACCGGCGCCCCGCCATCAAACAGGATAATCCAAAGTGTCGCTTACGTACAGGGGACGTGAAAAAATCGAACGAACGCGGAACTTAAAATTCGATTTGTCAACCTCTTAGTTAGAACGACTATTACATATTACTCATACCTCACAAATAATGGCCCACTTCGCTTTAATCGCATAAACATACGGAAAAGACATATCAGAGAATTACTTAGATTCAGTGAGCAAAAGAAAGAAAGAAAGAAAGAGAGAAAGCAGGAGGTCAGAAGATGAAAGAAAGAAAGAAAGAAAGAAAGAAAGAAAGCAGGAGGCCAGAAGATGAAAGAAAGAAAAAAGAAAGAAAAAAAAGAAAGAAGGAGGCCAGAAGATGAAAAAAAGAAAGAAAGAAAGAAAGAAAGCAGGAGGCCAGAAGATGAAAGAAAGAAAGAAAGAAAGAAAGAAAGAAAGAAAGAAAGAAAGAAAGAAAGAAAGCAGGAGGCCAGAAGAAGAAAGAAAGAAAGAAAGAAAGAAAGAAAGCAGGAGGCCAGACGATGAAAGAAAGAAAGAAAGAAAGAAAGAAAGAAAGAAAGAAAGCAGGAGGCCAGAAGAAGAAAGAAAGAAAGAAAGAAAGAAAGAAAGAAAGAAAGCAGGAGGCCAGAAGATGAAAGAAAGAAAGAAAGAAAGAAAGAAAGAAGGAGGCCAGAAGATGAAAGAAAGAAAGAAAGAAAGAAAGAAAGAGGCCAGACGATGAAAGAAAGAAAGAAAGAAAGAAAGAAAGAAAGAAAGAAGGAGGCCAGAAGATGAAAGAAAGAAAGAAAGAAGGAGGCCAGAAGATGAAAGAAAGAAAGAAAGAAGGAGGCCAGAAGATGAAAGAAAGAAAGAAAGAAAGAAAGAAATCAGGAAGCCAGAAGATGAAAGAAAGAAAGAGAAGAAAGAAAGAAAGAAAGAAAAGAAAGCAGGAGGCCAGAAGAAGAAAGAAAGAAAGAAAAGAAAAAGAAAGAAAGAAAAGCAGGAGGCCAGAAGATGAAAGAAAGAAAGAAAGAAAGAAAGAAAGAAAGAAAAGAAAGAAAGAAAGAAAGAAGGAGGCCAGGAGAAGATGAAAGAAAGAAAAGAAAGCATGAGGCCAGAAGATGAAAAGAAAGAAAGAAAGAAAGAAAGAAGGAGGCTGAAGAAAGAAAGAAAGAAAGAAAAGAAAGAAAGAAAGAAAGAAAGAAAGAAAGAAAGCAGGAGGCCAGAAGATGAAAGAAAGAAAGAAAGAAGGAGGCTGACGATGAAAGAAAGAAAGAAAGAAAGAAAGAAAGAAGGAGGTTAGAAGAAGAAAAAGAAAGAAAGAAAGAAGGAGGCCAGAAGATGAAAGAAAGAAAGAAAGAAAGAAAGAAAGAAATCAGGAGGCCAGAAGATGAAAGAAAGAAAGAAAGAAAGAAAGAAAAGAAAGAGGAGGCCAGAAGATGAAAGAAAGAAAGAAAGAAAGAAAGAAAGAAAAAGAAAAGAAAGAAAAGAAAGCAGGAGGCCAGAAGATGAAAGAAAGAAAGAAAGAAAAGAAAGATGGAGGCTAGAGAAGAAAGAAAGAAAGAAAGAAGGAGGCCAGAAGATGAAAAGAAAGAAAGAAAGAAAGAGAAAGAAAGAAAAGAAAGCAGGAGGCCAGAAGATGAAAGAAAGAAAGAAAGAAAGAAAAGAAAGAAAGAAATCAGGAGGCTGAGATGAAAAGAAAGAAAGAAAGAAAGAAATCAAAGGCTATAAGAAGAAAGAAAGAAAAGAGAGAAAGCAGGAGGCCAGGAGATGAAAGAAAGAAAGAAAGCATGAGGCCAGAAGATGAAAGAAAGAAAGAAAGAAAAGAAAGAAAGAAAGCAGGAGGCCGTGAAGATGAAAGAAAGAAAGAAAGAAAAGAAAGAAAATCAGGAAGCTAGAAGATGAAAGAAAGAAAGAAAGAAAGAAAGAAAGAAAGAAAGCAGGAGGCCAGAAGAAGAAAGAAAGAAAGAAAGAAAGAAAGCAGGAGGCCAGAAGATGAAAGAAAGAAAGAAAGAAAGAAAGAAAGAAAGAAAGAAAGAAAGCAGGAGGCCAGAAGATGAAAGAAAGAAAGAAAGCATGAGGCCAGAAGATGAAAGAAAGAAAGAAAGAAAGAAAGAAAGAAAGAAGGAGGCCAGAAGATGAAAGAAAGAAAGAAAGAAAGAAAGAAAGAAAGAAAGCAGGAGGCCAGAAGATGAAAGAAAGAAAGAAAGCAGGAGGCCAGACGATGAAAGAAAGAAAGAAAGAAAGAAAGAAAGCAGGAGGCTAGAAGAAGAAAGAAAGAAAGAAAGAAGGAGGCCAGAAGATGAAAGAAAGAAAGAAAGAAAGAAAGAAAGAAAGAAAGAAAAAGAAATCAGGAGGCCAGAAGATGAAAGAAAGAAAGAAAGAAAGAAAGAAATCAGGAGGCCAGAAGATGAAAGAAAGAAAAAAGAAAGAAAGAAAGAAAGAAAGAAAGAAAGAAAGCAGGAGGCCAGAAGATGAAAGAAAGAAAGAAAGAAAGAAAGCAGGAGGCTAGAAGAAGAAAGAAAGAAAGAAAGAAGGAGGCCAGAAGATGAAAGAAAGAAAGAAAGAAAGAAAAGAAAGAAAGCAGGAGGCCAGAAGATGAAAGAAAGAAAGAAAGAAAGA